TTTTTTTTTTTTTTTGGGCAATTAGAAAAAAATTCTAGACACAATGGTAAAAAAAATTATCACTTTTATTGACAATTTTCATGCAAAACAAAGCCAAACGAATGGTATTCGATATGATAAATTTTTTTAATTTTTAATTTTTTGGCAATTGGAATAAATTTTAGACCCAATGATAAAAAAAGTTATCACTTTAATGAATAATTTCCATGAAAAACGAAGTCAAACGGATACTAAACTTTCAACATTTTCAGGTGAAAAATTATACCAATCAAACACAATTAATTATAATTCCCAATAAAACAATTTTTAGACAATTCAATTCCCTAAAATTCATTTTCTTTCCACCAATTTTCCACATTTGCAATAAAAAAATGTGTCCTATACCTTCCAAGGGCACCTAATTTTACATATAAAAGTGAACAATGAGACTGTCTCAATTTTCACGACTACACACTTTTTACTGCATTCGTTAATCCATAACACTGAAAGAAGCTCGTATTTAAACCCGATGCATACTTATTTATTATTTAAAGAGCAATTTTTATCAAATTTTTAGCGAATTTTATACGATTATACAGTGTATAACAGTGATACGACAACCACAATTATTGACTGAATCAAGTAAAGTGATCAATGTGCCCCTTTAACATTTACCCTTGCCTAATTGTGCTTTTTTGCCAAAAATTTATTAGATTATGATAAAAATTATTATTAAACTCATTGACATATTATAAGGTTTAGAAAAAAAATACTGTAGCGGTAAAGTGTATTTATTTTGCATTGCCAAGTATGCCCTCTAAAAATAGTCACATACGATGGCTGACACTGAAGAAATGTATAAAAAGAAACTACAGGGGCAATATAGACTATTTTCGTAATAAATTAATTGATGTCGTTTCAAGTGATAATTGATTGATAAGGCAGTCAAAAATTGCTTAAGATCTTCTAAAAGTCACTCCGGCTTAATATTTGTTCACGTTGAGTCAAAGATTACGGTCTCATTTGTACACCACAACCACAAGGGAGCATTATTTATTAAAACTTAAACATTAAAAAGAAGAAAAATACAATAGATTCGAGGAAGACATACGACCTCACCTCCAATTCATGATCTTTATCACCACAAAGCCGTGTTTATACTCTTTTAGATCGTGAATCAGAAAGAAGAAATAAAAAATACCTTCATAATGTGCACTGTCCATTCAACAAGCAGTAGATGAACTTTACGACGCATACACTGTACAGTTAGATTTATTGAAGAGGTACACTGTACACAGGCAAACAGACAAGGAAAGGTTGGAGGAGAAAAGTAAAGTTTTTAGCCCTTATGCGAAAAATGGAAAGGGCTAAAATTCCCTACTAATAGACATACACTCACTTAATAATTCCACAGCAGAGATTCAAGAATTCCACCACCATCATCGGCACCACTGCTCAGCCATGGAGGCGGAGAATCCAACCACCCATAATCCACCGAGTTGTCGACAAACACAGCATCATTCTTCAGTTCTAGAGAGTCAAAATAGGATCCCAGACTTGGCAATTCAATTATCTCACACAAATCTTCTGAACTGGTCGACAAATCTACACCAGAATCAGATGATGAAAATGAGGAATGTGAAGATGAAGTAGTTGACGAAGATGGTGGCGATAAGTCAAATTTTTCCATGGCTGCCGCTTTTGTGGCGGCTTCTTGAACGTCACGTGGGCGAAGCGACACCGGCCGCGGTAGTAAAGCGGCGAGTTCAGGGAAGTTTAGGATTGCTGAGTTGCCTTTGATGCTTAAGGCTGCTACATCATGAGCCCTGGCTGCCATTTCTGGTGTAGGAAAAGTGCCAAGCCATATACGGGATTTCTTGCGGGGCTCCCGGATTTCAGACACCCATTTGCCCCAGCTGCGCATTCGGACGCCATGGTACACCGGGTGGTTACTGGCTGCGCCGCTGCCGGTGGCGGTGTTTCGAATTCTCTTGATTTTCTTGGTGGGCTCTGCAAGATTTTGTGGTTGCTGAGGCTGCGATGATTTATGAGATTCAGTGCTCATTCTTAACATTAACTAATTGACTTCTGTATTTAGTACTTATCAACGTGTGTGTATTTCTTGTACTTCCGTTTGTGCACTTATAATTTACATTTCCATTTACAATGTGTAATAATGGCAGTGCCTCTATATATATATATATAGAGAAAGAGAGAGAGAGAGTGAGGCGGTAAGGTTTCTTCTTGATGTTGCAACTTGCAAAGAAATGGAAGGAATATATATAGGACATGCAGTTGAGTAATATCAGAGATGCTCAGATAGAGCAACCCCTATCCAGCTAACCCCTATTTTCAATCATCTAAAAAATAGAGAGAGAAAAAGTAGAGAGAGAGAGAGAGAGAGGGGCCATTCTGCTAGAAGCAGAGGTACAATGGGGTCCTTTTCTGACTTTGATATCTTTCGTTCTGGTTTTCACTTTCACCTATGCGTGTTAATACTGTTCATTTAACCCTTATCATACTGATGACTCTTGAGCTAGCAGCACCATAGACACAATATTGTAATGTGTATGTGTGACCCAAATGATATTTTTTGCTGCCATTTTTTGGGTACTTCCATATCTTCGTGTCTAAATAATTTAGATTTTGTTGGGGTTCTGATACTAGGGTTTCACTTAAATTAGTAGTGTTGCTTGATTTGAGTTGAAAAATGTACATGTTACAGTCGAATCCAATCTAGTATTTTGTTTGGGTATATGAAAGTTCTTTTTGGCTTTTATTGATGGATTCTATAGAGCTTAATTATACTGTGTGCTTAGAGAGCAGTAAGTTCTGCTGCTTATGATGAATTTTTTTATTACTGAGCAGATTGAACATTCAAACATGTATTTGATTGCCCTAATGTTGGTATTTTGTGAATGATCTATTAGGACATTTTTGTTGTGTTTAAATTTTTTTAGCAATTGGCCACCTTCCATAGCTAAAGCATGAATCATGCAGTGTAAATTAAAGTTTTTACTATAAATTAATTATTATGCGGGAGTATATATTATTATGCTAAAAAACTCAATGTACCTTGGTCATTTACTGTAAAATTGTGATGATCTGTGGGCTATTTTTAGGATGGAGAGAGGAAAATCGAACAATCTTAAAGATTTCATATATAATTCCTACTCTCTTAAAAGGGAGAGTTTGAGGTTCACCTCATTCTTGATTTTCCCTCACAGATCACTGTTGCATGTGCTGCCAAAAATTCCAATTAGTCTTGCAGCAGGATTTATTGATTTTGGAGTACTTCAATTTTCCATACTCTTTTTGTATAGTCGGTTGAAGAAAGAATTGATATTTTTATAGTCGGTTTGTATTTTTAAAATTCATGTGTATTGATTATTCCATTCTGCTATCGCCATCTCCGACTTCTACAATTTTACTCCATTACCGTCCTT